TTTTTTTAATAGTGGAGAATGATTTTAACCTTTGTGATAAAATCAGAGATTACCCTTCACTTTCGGATGCAGCAAAAGCATCCGAAAGTGAAGGGGACCCGTCATTCAAAACTTGTAATATTCTTTTTGTTATAAAGCTGCACAATGAGAATAAACAAAGTAGAACATCCACTGACAAAATCCAATTCCTGCATTCTGACCCTACCCAGCTCCAACAACACAAAAACTTCTGTTATTCATGACTTGTCTGGCCAGCAGCATGGTCAGTCAACTCTTTAGGAGCCTGTCTTACAAGAGTCTTTGGCTCTGGCTAGATGTTCTGCTTATTTAAAGTGACACTAATCTCAGGAGTTAAATCTTAAAAATGCATTCAAGTGCCTTAACTATTAACAGAAATGTATCCTATTTGTGTATCACTCGGCTGTAGATCCTCAAATCATCTCTGAATTGATGCTGACACTTTCCTTCCTTCTGGAGGGTGGCTACTTTTGTTCCCCATGGTCCCTGTGTGTGTTGTAAAGTAGTCACCTCTCCAAGCTCACTCCTGTGATGGACTATAACTTCAATACAAATTGATAAACTAAATGTGAAATTGTAGTCTATCACGGGCGCAAGCTTGGAATGGTGGCTGCTTTCCAACACACACAGGGACCATGGGGAACAAAAGTATCCAATCTCCAGAAGGAAGAACAGTGTCCGCATCAATTCAGAGATGATTTGAGGATCTAAAGCCGAGTGATACACAAATAAGATACGTTTTTGTTAATAGTTAAGGTACTTAAAAGCATTTTTTTAGTGTCACTTTGACTGACATTTGACTGACATGCTCCTTGTAGAGGTAGCAGCTGGGCTGAGCAAAGGGACAAAGTATCATTTTAGAGATCATGCATGGTTTTATTTTTAGATTTTTTTTTCCATTTACTTCTTACATCATAAATGCAACACTACAATAAAATCTGTTTACATTTATGTCAATGATGGGACCATATGACAACAAATAGTGTAAAAAGCTAGAGTCTACAGTGTACCGTAGCCAAGCTACTGTCCGATAAGTGAAAGATTTTTGGTTGACTACTATGGAATACTGTATGCCATAATTGCTCTTTGCAACAAGCCTAAATATGTTATTTTATGTAAAAGGAAATAGTGTTTCCAGCAACTGACCGCATAGTTCTGTAAAAACCTCAAAGAAAAAAAAACACTGGTTGTCATGGGCAACATCCCCTTTCTTGGCATTGCTTGCAAATAAACATCAGTAAATGGTATATGGAAGATGTCTTTTGTTGCAAAATACATGTTTAGTTGATCTCCACAGGAAAACAAAATGTCTTATTTTATTTTTCCGGATGTATGTTTTCTTTTAGTTTGTCCAGTTGGTTGCCATGTAATGCTTAGTAATGGAAGGGTCCATATGATAAATGCTGCCTGCAGTAGCCTCTGCTTAGCTGCCATGGTCAGTTGTTGCAGATCTTGCCAGAATTATGACTGTATTTTTCAGGGTTTTTCTTTTTCTACAGCCGTTTCAAATGTCAAGATGCAGTAATGTTCTAGAATCATGTCCATACATATTAAATGTGGCGTGGGCACTGCCACCTCTTTATAATACATTTGTGCCAGAAGGTAAATAAACTTTTGTTTAAAAAATGAAACCTCTCTGAAATCAGAATTGTCTTTGATTTTGAGGGCTATTCTGTCTTTCTGAATAAAACAGTCTTGTGCGTCCCGTGATAACTGGTTTGGTTGTTATTAAAGAACACCATTGATATGTGTTCTTTCTTATTTTACTTCCTAAATGGATATTCTCAGGATAGATGTACGGGAGTTGCTCTCCCCAAGATGCATGCATTGGGGCCTCCTCATCATGCTTGCTACACTATTTGAGAGGTTCTCTGTCATTTCTATATTTTCATATGGCTGGGGTGGCTCCTGTTCAAAATGGAACCTAGTAAAACTGATTTAATTCTGTGTATGTAGGCCCCGTGCAGTTACCTCTACTCAGCCAATCACAGGCTCTCAATGCTGCCCCAAGTTTGTTATGGAGCCATTATAGTGTGCCTCTCTGGTACTGGTGACTTCTGTGGGTAGTTTCTGCACCTGTAGGCAGCGCTGTCTGGGTTACAAAATCAGGCACGTGTGGTACAGTTGCTCCTAGCAGTAGTCTACAGCACTGGGATTTGGCAAGAGTCCTGTGTGTATATCAACCATACATAGGCTGGTATTTCTGGCATTCTTCTGAAAATGCTAGTTTCCTGCTGGTGTGTAAATGTAGTATATCTGATTCACACGTCAGTAACAAACATACATCAAATGCTTGGAGTGCTAGCCTCCATATTTATTTTTTTCAAGGCTTTCCTGTTAATTTGAATTGTATTTTTATTCTTAAAAGGATACAATTGTTGTGTAAGCCATTTTGTAATTAACAGCACCATGCTCAGATTTGTGAATGGTAAGGATGAGAGGATTGGAGATGCGACAGTAGGGCTGAGATCTAGGATACCAACAGTGCCTACAGCCAGAGCGGCCAGGAAGTACAGCGGGAGCACTACTTGTAGCATATAACATAAATGATTTGCGGGACATTTAAGTATGCCTGCATTAGAGTGAGGTTCTCCTGAGGTATGAGAAGGTGCACCTGCTTGAAACCTGTGAAGGTAATTTTGCTTGGAGTTGGACTTTAAGGCACTGGGACTGATCTTGCAATGAAAGTAGACAGGTACTCACACCTAGGAATTGGTGGAGACTGGTCATTCCAATAACTTCCTAATACTAAAATGGTTGGTGTTAATATCTAGAAAACATAAGCAGTTTTTTTCCCTAAAACTCATCTTGCAGTTATGCTCACATCAGTGGGATGATGTGTTCCAGAATGCATATATCTGAGAGATGCAGGAAAGCATTTGCCTTTGCTGAGAAGAGAAAATATTTGACACAATAAGGTTCTTTTTTTTTATTTTATACAGTAGTAAACTTTTTAATGCATAAATTAAATTTTAAGCTGCACGGGCTACTGTGAAGTGAATTTCATCTAACAGGTGCCAAAGTAATAGTGGCATGTCCCCAAGAGTGACTCCAGCACCCATGTCCACTTGCTGCTGCTCCCATTACCCCCCCCCCCCCCCCCCCCCCCATCATTTCAGCCGCATCTTCCGCCCTGTTCTCTGAACACTACACTTTTCTAGTGGAGTTCAGAGCTATAAGAAGCACAGTCTAATCAGTCCACTGCTAGGATGGCAGCAGGGATACTATGTTCGATTTCTATTTTCCACCACTCGGAGTAAGTGAGGTCACCATGTTGGCACCCCAGTTTCCACACTACCCTGAATTCATATATAATGTATTCCGGTATTTAAAAGTTGGAACAGAAAATGTTTTGACAATGCAGTTTATTTTTGGCCACATTACCTGCAATGTAACCACTTGTGCCAAGCAATTTGCCCAGCAGTGGGGACTTATCTATGAATGTATGTGAACTGTTTTAAGTCAACCCATCATCCTTATCACCATCTTCTCCATAGCATTTGTATAGATAAGTCCTTTGTGCTCTATGATGGTGTAATGTTTGGCTTAAATGTACATATGTAAAGTTTTTATGGTAAATATAATTCATTCAATTTTAATATTGAAAAACAATGTACTGTATATGAACAGACTGGAAACAATAAAGTCTTTTGAGACTAAATTGTGCTCTGCATGTCTCAGGTTTCAGTAGTCTAATGCCTAAGAATCCATTCACACATTTCTAACACATGCATTAATGAAATATACGTTGTGTGTTAGCGTGTTTATTTTGAATGGCACCCCCAATACACTAAGGCAAATGCAGCTCCTACACATGTGTTGCAGAGCACAGTAAATCACTACTCTGCGTTGTGGTGCGCTGCATTTGTTTGTGCGTGTTCCTAGCCCGTTTATTTGCAATGCATGTTCACACATATTAAATGCATTTGTTAACTCAGTCACACTGGGACTGCAAGATCTGAATGGGTCCTAAGAATTAGAACATCTGTTTAAACCCTAGAGGTGCCCATACACCAATTTTCGTTCGATTTCTTTCGTCCCGTCATCAAACCCTCGTTCGTCTTCCATTTGAATGCCCTATCATGCACAGAGCAATGTAGATTTCGATTATTGTACGTTAGTAATACTAACTGGCTGAATTTCGTCGATCATAGAACAGATTTTCATTTGGGCATGTGCAGTTTCATACAATTCAAAAAAGTTTTCCAGCCTGACCAAGGAAATTCATGCAGTTGTACAGTAATTATGATCACTTCCATCAACTAGCCGATTATCTTACGAAAACCCGAACGCGTTTGTTTTTTTTAACGATAATTGCAAATGGTATGGGCACCTTTTACACACAACATTCTTCCATTCAAGAGGAGTAGATATACACAGACAAGATCTTACTGGACATTTGCTGTAGGTTTTCTAAAATTGTCAATGTAAGCTATACATGCCACCCGAAACATCTAGTTTATCAGCATTACCTGACCAGCTTAGGTTTGTTAGCCATGTTAACACTTCACGGTGTGGAGGGCTTAGCCTATATGCACATGTAGTTTTGATATGTATTAACTAATTTTCTTCTAAAAGCAGGGAGAAAATTACCTCATCATGTAGGTATTTCCTTAGAGCTTATATACATTTGTGTTTCTTTGCTAATCCCTTTGCTTTCACATTATAGGCAAGAGATAAAACATGGGTCAATTTGTTCGATTCCTAATTCCTCATGCACCAGCAACGTAGAAGAAAAACCTGTAGATCTGGCATAGGTAACACTGCTCTACAAGCAGAAGGCCTTGGAAATGGAAGTAACTAAATATTACCAGAATTGGGTCACTAATAAAGGAAAATTAAGTCCTGAGTATTATTTGGCTCCACGTTCCAAGATACAGCTTCAGGTCAAAATTGCATCAAAATAATTCAAAATTACAAGGGGGATGTGCGATTATGCTCCGTAACTTTTTCTGCATACTGTTATATAGCAATGAGAATGGTGCCACACCAATCATTATAAATGTATCTTTTTATTGATACCAATAACATAACTTTCCATTAATGTATTCATTGCACAATAATACAGCTTTTTAGACCAGCTTTAGACGAATCTATGAACAATCTTAATTCATCTGGATTGTGGGCAATGTTAAGGGCTGTCATTAAGCCGTTAATATCATTGCAATAAACCAAATCACCTTCCGCTAAGAAATACTGAACCAGATCTTTTTGGCGATCACAGAAAATTGAGATCCTGACATCAATCTACAAGAGGTTCCTCTGTTGTAATCTGGAGCCTAGTAGCTCTGCCTTACTCTTAGGCAATTCCAAATCCCTGACCAGGTCATTTAGTTCACTCTGTGAAATTAGATGTGGTTCAGGTGGAGCATACAGCGGGCTACATTTTGGGTCCGCTGACATCGACGGCCCTGGATAAGCTGCATCCTGCTCATCGTCTTTATCATCATCTGAGTCTAGAAAGTAAGATTCTGGTGGCTTTGGAATAGTCAAGTCCTCACCATGGGGTACAGGACGCAGTGCGGATGG